GCCTCGCCAAGCCCCGCCCCCTCTCCCGCCGGCACCGTCGCGGATAGGCCACGGGCGGGCTCGCGCGTGACGCGGGGCGGGGGCGGAGGCGGCGCCCGCTAAATTCAAGCTGCGGCCGGCGAAGGGCGGTTAGCGGCGCGGCCGTTGGCGGGATGGAGACGCTGACCTTCCCCCGCTACAGCCCCGACGACATCGTCAGCTACCTCCGCAGCCACGTCCTGGCGGGCGCCGAGGCCCGCAATCTGGTCAAGGGCGACGTGTTCGGCAACCCCAAGGTGCGTGAGGGGGCTCGGGGGAGGCCGCGGCCCGCGCTCGGGCAGCCTCCCGCCCGCCGTGGAGGAAGGCCTTTGCGTGCCGTAGCACCAGAGGTTTTCCTGCGCGCCGGGTGGTTTCTTGGGTGATCGATCCCCCGGCTTGCGTGGTCTTTGGCGTACAGCAGCGCCTTCTAAGTAAAGTGATTGGTTTTTCTGATGTGGCGGATTAGTCTCGTAGGAGTTACAGGGGTAGACCTAGAGCTTCTCCTCTCTTCGGCTTGAAAGAAGCTTGCTCAAGCCTCACCAGGAAGGGGGTGGGTTCGTAAACGGGCACACATGAAACTACAGTCTGTCTGCCTCGTTTCTGTGGAAACTAGGTTAAAATAGCCGCTGTGTATGGCATAGTGTCATAGTTTGAACAGCTTTGTTGATCGACTAATGCTTTTAAACCAATCCTGTAAAAAGCAACTCCTCCCTGCTCCACCCCCCTTTTTTTTTCTTGTATTGGTCTGACCATTAATGTTAGTGCAGGCTTGCAGTGTCCTCAACAAAAGAGAAGTGGCTTTAAATTGAATTGGTGCCTCAGTGTGATTCCTTGTGCTGCTATGTAAATGCTTGTGCCTGATGATGGAGGAGGCTGGCCCTGCTCTTCTAGAGAACGATGGGATGATCATTTTTAAGAAGTAAGATTGATTTGAATTGATCATGGATTAGTGCTGTAAATTAATAACTGTTTGGCTTGTAGGTATTTTTTGCCCCTCTGTTTTAATAATGTGATGAAGGGCACTCTTTGCTAGGGGATTATAGTTTCTGTGACTTCTTTTGGTTTTGGTGTCACTTGGTTTGAAAACTGCTCAGTGAGCAGCAATGTAATGAAAAACAATACATAGCTGTGGCAGTTAGGACTGTAGTTGTCCAAGCTGATTGCTGTCTCTTGTAATTGTATTATGAGATAGTAATGCTTGAACTGCAAGTTATTGGAAAGTAAAACTTGTTAGTCTTGGTGACTCAGTGAAATCAACCTACGTGTGTTAAAAGCAGAACTACTTTTATGACCTAGTCTGGGAGCCCTGAATAACTCAATCATATGGAATACTGATTCATGTCCTTTCTTCTTGCAGCTTGAAGTTTTACACATGATTTACATGAGAATCCTGCAGAAGGTATATGGAATCCGCCTGGAGCATTTCTACATGGTACGTCTGTAGTGGCAGGTGTAATGAAATGTGAAAGGAAAAAGATATTGCACTTAACAAATTAAATGTTGAAGTATGTCCCTCTTATCTTCTCACTAGCAAATGGCAAGTAGCTTACTGTTTTGTATGTTGTAATTGCGTGAACAGGAGCTTAGAAATTCTGCCTCTATTGCAGAATTGTTTGTGTGTGAAGTGCTATATACCTATGGGCATTTGTGTTTAGGGAGGCAACTAGCCTGTTCACTTAGGCAGGAGTGAGAGTGCAGTGCTGCATTGCAGCCATCAGCATGGGTCATTTACCAGAGGTAAATGAACCTGGAAGCATTATCTGTGGGTTGTTGCTGAGGCCTTGCTGATTACATCTGAGAAGTTGCTTTGATCCTTGCTCCTGGTCTTGAAGTTAGCTTCAGCTGAAGATACTTATAGAAATAGTGGTTCTGTGGGTGTGCTGCCTCTGGGGTTTTTGTTTTGGGGTATTTTTTGTTTGTTTTGTTTTGTGGTTTTTTTTTCATGGAGAGGATAATTCCTTCTCCACTATAGGAGCTAGTGGGCATGAAGAGGAGCTCCCTTGCCACTGTAGGCTGTAAGGAAAGGCTCTGTGGAGAGCCTTCTCCTTCTGCGGTTAAGCTGTGAGTTGTTTTCTTTGAGATGCTGCTGGTGCCAGAAATGCCTGTAAGGTCCAGGAGGGATTGGACAAGCTTATGCCATCTCTGGCCTTGAAAACACATACTGTCTTCTTGGGCATCTGCCTTTTGGCCATTGTTGGAGGAGGGTCTCTGCTTAGATGTTAGACTAGTCTAGAAGGAAAGTAAATGTCGCTTTTAATGTTTGATCATCTCTGCTTCTCCATTAACTGAGAGGAAAGTAAGGAGAAGTGTAGCTGGAGGTTAACTGATACCTTGTTGATTAACGCTTGATTTATCTTTTGTCTCTGTTAGACAAGAACTGATTCCTGAAAGTGAGAATAAATAGTGTTGTCTCGTGCCATTTTTGGATAAACTGAAACAGAAGATCATATGAGCACCAGATAACTCAGTTTTTCACAGGCAATGACATTATCTGGGATACTGTATTATGAGGTTTAATATACCAGAAAAAGGTGACAGTATACCACTACCTTCTCCTTCTGACTTCTTCATAAAAAAAAATTGAGTGTGTGAATTTCAGGGTGTTTAAAGGAAGAGCTTGTTGTTAGGTCTGTAATGTAGAGACTGTCCTTCTGCACTAGTTTTGAACAAATTAAAACTGAGAGTTTAGATCAAATTTCAGAGTTTGTGATGTTGCTGCTTTAGTTGTTATTGTCTTTTTGTATTTTGACCAGCCAAAATTCACACTTAAAATAGTCTGCTGATTAACTTGATTGCATTCTTCAGCCTCTAACATGTGTTCCCTGTGGATGGGGAGACCATCCTCAGTGTGTTTAATCTATGTGAATTATCTTATGTTGTGAAAACAAACCTGTGTATTTTTGTTTAAGTATTGTCTACTTATGCATTGACTCTCTTTACTCTTTAGATGCCAGTCAACGTTGACATAATGTATCCACAGATATTTGAAGGCTTTCTACCTGTTTGTAACTTGTATATTCACATGTAAGTAGAAGACGCTGCATCTGTTCAGTTGCTATTCCTTGTAAAGGTCCAATTTTCTAGAAGCAGTGGAGCTTTATGCCTTTTTGCTGATGGTGGTTCTGCTGCTTATTGGCTCTGAGCAAAGTGAAATTTGCAGATGAAGAGGGGACAGCAATGTTTAATAGAGTAGAATTCTCAGCAGGCAGCTATCTTGTCAAAATGAACATGTTAACGAAATAATCCAGCCTCACCAAGGTGGAGCACAAATCTATACTTTGAATGGCTAGAGGGTCATGATTACACCTAGAAGAGGGATCTTAAATACTTGTTGTATAAATTTGCTGTCTGAATTCTATATCTTTGTTGGAATGAGGTGAGTATTAGACTTTAAGCTTCATTTCAGTCTTAAGGGCAGAACTGACTAACAGTTAAGCACAGGAGTTCCCTAATTAAGATGAAAAGTTGTTCTACAGGCAAGTATTTTTGTCTATAGAAATCTTTGTGAGATGCTGTAAGAACGCAAATTTTTAATACTGATCTGTGTGTGGAGTCCTACTGTGTTATTCTCCTGAGACTTACTGTTGTCTTGTGCTTGCTGTACATATGCTCTGGGATGAGAGGACAAGATCTGTTTTGTAATAAATGGATATAACGCAAAAACTGAACAATGGTCACTCCAGATAAGGTTGTATTTTGTTTTCTTTGCAGGGAGCGCTTACTTCCAGTGTGCCGGATTAACGATTTTCAAATTGCTGATGTGTTAAACCCAAGTAAGCAAGTGCATTGTAGTCCTTGTGCGTTGTAATCCACCTGGGGTGGTGGGTGTCACTTAATATCCAGATGCTTTTTTCTCATTTGGCATAGCCAGATGGGCATCTAGTACAGAGAGAACTGTCTGTGGCTTCCAGCTAATCTTCTGACCCTTGCTGTGTCCTTTAGACAAGCTGGTTCTAATGAGCAGTTCTTCTCTTTATTCCTTATGTAGGCTAATCCAGTTAAATAACTGAGGGTAGTTTTGAATGCTATGAGTCTCTTGAACCTGCTGGTCTGGAGAGTGGACTGTGACATAATTGAAATAGTGTAAGAATAGATGCTAATGAAAATTATCTTGGCAACTCTGGAATAATATAGGAGCCAAATGTCCCTGCAGTTCAAACTGCTGTCTTCAGTTAGTCTGATAGTTACAGTGAGGTTCTATCTTCAGAGTTGTATTAGAAGATTGACACTGACTTTTGTTTTAATGGGAGGCTGTATGTTAATAGTCCTCCTCCTAGGTGCCGTTTTAATTTGCTATATTGCATAGAATTGCTAAGCCATTGTAAGTTCATGGCTTGGTGCTAGTTTTTGTGTAGTCTGTGAAATCTTTATAAGGTGAGCAGGGGAAGAACTAATTTGGATTCCATTGTTTTGTAACTTCTGTCTCTTCTCTGAATTATGTTTTGCCCAACTTTTTCTAAACAATTGCAATGCATGTGGAAACCAGAATAGTGATGGCTTGCAATTCCTGTTTCAGAAACAAAGAGGACAGCTCGCTTCTTGAGTGGCATTCTCAACTTTGTAAATTTCAGAGAATTCCGACGTGAGGTCTACTTGGCGTTACAACTGAACTATGTAAGATTGGGTGCCATGTTACTCCAGATACCTACTTAAGTATAATTAATGTTAACCTAGAACTGGGAACATAAAGGTTGTGGGGTTTTAACTGCATGTTTACATAACACATTGGAATCTTAAAGGTAGCCAAGTAATACAGGAAAGTACCAGTTTAATATTATGTAAAACTTGTACAACTATATTAAATGTTATAAGCATACACAGCTACTGTAAATGGTTTAAGAAAAACCTTTGCAAAGCCCTTAAGGAAACATGTCAGTTTAGAAGAGTGGATGAGCTTGTCAATATTGTAAAGGTTTCTGTATGACCATGACCAAGTTATTACTTAAGCTATTATCTGAAGTTTTTTCCCAGTAACTTATTTGATAGCTTAGCCTGATAAGCGAAGGTTTGACACCTCGCATCATTTTGAGAAAAGATAGGTGTAATAGTCAGTGGGCTGAAGCTAGAATTGCAGGTGGCTTATCTTCTGAATATTTCAAGTAGTTCAGAGATGGTGCATGTCATGTGTGTCGTGGTTTAACCCCAACCCAGTGGGATGGGGGAGAAAATCGGGAAAAGAAGTAAAACTCGTGGGTTGAGATAAGAATGGTTTAATAGAACAGAAAAGAAGAAACTAATAATGATAACGATAACACTAATAAAATGACAACAGTAGTAATAAAAGGATTGAAATGTACAAATGATGCGCAGGGCAATTGCTCACCACCCGCCAACTGACACCCAGCCAGTCCCCAAGCGGCGATTCCCTGCCCCCCCCTTCCCAGTTCCTAAACTAGGTGGGACATCACATGGTATGGAATACACTGTTGGCCAGTTTGGGTCAGGTGCCCTGGCTGGGCATGAGAAGCTGAAAAATCCTTGACTATAGTCTAAACACTACTGAGCAACAACTGAAAACATCAGTGTTATCAACATTCTTCAGATACTGAACTCAAAACATAGCACTGTAACTGTCTTCCTAGTAGCTGGTAACTCTATCCCACCTGAAACCAGGACAATGTGAAATAATGAAGAGCAGGGCTCTAAAAGAAGCCCAGAGAGAAATGGTATTCTGCTAAAATTAAAAATATCTCTGAATACTTAATTTTGCAGAAATCAGCTATGGAGAAACACCAACAACTAGAGACTGCAAATCGGGAGGCAGCAGCGAAGCTGGAGAAACTGAAGTGAGTATGAGGAGTAAATGCTGTGAGATGTACTACTTTACTTTCCTGTTCAGTGCACATGATTTGGACAGGCTGGATCAATGGGCTGAGGCCAATTGTATGAGATTCAACAAGGTGAGGTGCCGAGTCCTGCACTTGGGTCGTAACAACTCCAGGCAACGCTATAGGCTTAGGGAAGAGTGGCTGGAAAGCTGCCTGGCAGAAAAGGACCTGGGGGTGTTGGTTGACAGCCAGCTCAATGCTGGCAGTGTGCCCAGGTGGCCAAGAAGGCCAATAGCATCCTGGCCTGTATCAGAAATAGTGTGGCCAGCAGGACTAGGGAAGTGATGGTCCCCCTGTACTTGGCGCTGGTGAGGCTGCACCTTGACTACTGTGTTCAGTTTTGAGCCCCTCACTACAGGAAAGACATTGAGGTGCTGGAGCACATCTAAAGAACAGCAACGAAGCTGGTGAAGGGTCTAGAGAGCGAGTCTGATGAGGAGCAGCTGAGGGAACTGGGGTTATTTAGCCTGGGGAAAAGGAAGCTGAGGGGAGACCTTATCACTCTCTACAACTACCTGAAAGGAGGTTGTAGCGAGGTGGGTGTTGATCTCTCTCCCAAGTAACAAGGGGACGTTTAGATTGAATACTAGGAAAAATTTCTTCACCGAAAGGGTTCTCGAGTATTGGAACAGGCTGCCCAGGGAAGTGGTTAAGTCGCTGTCCCTGGAGGTATTTAAAAGACGTGTAGATGTGGTGCTTAGGGACATGGTTTAGTGGTGGATTTAGCAGTGTTAGGTTAATAATTGGACTCGATCTTAAGGGCCCTTTCCAACCTAAATGATTCTATGATTCTATATGGGGTGCCTAATCAGGAACTGAGTAGTTTAAGCTGTGTGTTTTGACAGAATTGTTCGATAACTACTTCAGGAACTCTTAATTTGAGCAGACTTGACTTCTCCTTTGGCCCTTGTCTGACTTTGTTGCTGGTTAGCCTCCCTGGGAAATAAGCCAGAAAATAGACATTGCTATTGGGTTGTGCTCAGTTACAGAAGTAGCTCTACTGGCGTTAAGCTAGAAGGCTTCCTGGCAGAAAATAAAAATGTGACTTTGGGATTATATGGTTGCTTTGAGACGATAGCGTATTTTGTATGTTGGGGATTATGGTGAAACTTCTTGCTGTTATCGTTAGCTTTTAGTGATATGTCTTTATCTCTCCAATAGCTGTAGGAAGCCCATCTTGAACCGAATAGATGGGTAAAGTTGTCTTCCTTAGTTATTTGACATGTTTGCCCCATTCTGTTTCAGGCCATTTAGTCCTACTGCCTGTGTCTTTGCACCATTAAGTTTTGCTTTTGCTTCTGGATAATAGGATGAAGAGATGGCTAGTTTCCAAGATAGCTTTCAAAACAAAGAGTTTTTTCTCTGATAGCTGCTCTTGGTATGTGTTAGACAGGAGATTCTCTAGCTAGCTATAGGCCTACCGTAATACAAGCTGTTTCTATGGCAGGTAATATGCAAATTTCATAAATGAAAATCGCCACAAAAATTGGTAGAAGTGTTGTTCTTTTGTGCTGTGCTTAACATGATCTTTAAATTTAGTCCTCTGTTACGCTTGTACCACTTCTTGCCAAAATAGCTCTTTAGGTTATGCTTTAGCTACAAAATCTTACACACAAAGGAAAGTAAGATGTATTAATTTGAGACTGTCTTGCCCTGATTACTAAAGTTGCTGGTTGTAAACTCTTTGGAAAGAGTGATTTCTTTTTTTTTTATCTATTGTACTCTGACCTGACTATAATGATGTTGAAACTGTCCAATGTCTTTATTTTTTGCTTAGCACTGTTCCAGTTGAACATCAAGCAGAGGTCAAGCAACTGACAGATAACATTCGAGAACTGGAGCAACTACTAAGGCAAGACTACCGTCGGAAACAAGTATGATCTTGTTATATATTTCTCTGAAATGCTGCAGTGGCTTCTGATCATGGGTGTTCCTTATTTCTGTTGATTTTTGTTCCCTGCCACCTACTTCTACAAAGGATAAAGGGGACTTTTCTGATTTAAAACAAAGGTCATTGCAACACAATGTCTTGTCTAACCCTTAGCACATTTCACTGTAAGGAATGTGAAACATACTTGAGATAAGACTTGGGGAATACAAAAGTGTATTTGGCTCTTTCTTTTTGAAATGCATTACTGCAATGACTTGGGAGGTACCTGTGTTATTGCTGAGAAGTGCGATGTGTACGTTTCCCTTTTTCCACCTGGATTCAAAGAACTGGAGGTGAGCCATGGCAGGAAACGAGGCCTAAGAAGGGTCACCCAAGGGAATGCCTGGCAAAAAGAATAGGGTTGATTGTGGGGGTAACTTTCCAGCAGTGGCAACTTGCCTCTAAGATTTCATAGGTAACCTTTTCAGCTGCTTTGGAAAAAAAAAAACCAGAGCCCAAAAAAGTTGTGGTTAGGTGGGTTTTTTGGGTTTTTTTTGTCACATTAAGTCATGTCTCTACTATTAATATTATTAACCATGTGCTTGACTTCTATATTATTGGGGACCTTGTATTAACTTAGTTTTTTTCTCAAGAACAGTGCCTCTGGCAAAGAAGGTTGTGTGTGTATAATGCTGCCAGGGTCAGTAAGAATAGAAGTAGTCTGTCTCTTATCCCTACTGCTGCTGCATCCCTAGTGCTCCCAGTGGCTTTAGCGACAATGTTCTCGTTCCCTGTCTTTTAAATCTTACAGGCTGCAATTTTTGTCTGCTATTTATGGCACTCCAAAGAAACCATAAATGGGATTTTTCTTGTAGACAGATCTATGATAGAAGGGTAAAGGAGGTAGCAGTTGTAGAGATGCTTACTTAAATTTTGTTGCTTTTTTAGACAGCATTGCAAGAAGTGATTTCACAAAAGAAGTCAGATATTGCAGAGAGTACCCGAAAACTGGTAAGTATACCTCTGCTTAGGTGTAGGCTGTAGCTTACATCTAAGATCAACTAATAGATCATCTTTCTTTCTAGTATCAAATTATTCTTCGAGCAAGGTAATGTTCAGGTGGTGATTATTAGTTTTTTAAAAAACTGATTTGGTTTCATTTTCCCCCATGGAAGCTTTACTGCACTAGCTTGTTTTGTTGTTAACTTTAAATACACAACTCTGCAATGTAAAGCTCTGTCTGTGTTCAGGAAGCTTATCTGTAAAAGGGCAAGAAATCTGGACTTCTGAGGAGCCATCGGCTTACCTTAGGTGCATAGAAGAGCTAATGAGGTAGCCACTCACTTGGTGGGAACAAAACAGGAGGTTTTTGAGAGGTTGAACAGGAAGCTTGTTGCTCTTCTACCAGGTTGATAGAGCTAGCTCTGAAACCCTGCAGTGACTGCCTCAGTTGTCCTAGGTGAGGGGTTCTGAAAGAGAAAGCTGCTAGTAATATGTATTAGCTAGCAGGCTTTTTGTGGAGTACTAGTTAAATGCTGTTCTCGTGACTTAGTATTGCACCCCTGTAAGCATGTTCAGGGAGCAAAATGGACTGTTAACTGCTTTGGTTGGGAATGTTAATGCTGTTGAGAGGAATTTATTTTTAAAACAAACTTGCTAATGAGGAATGGCTTACAACAGAGAAGAGAACCTGTCTAGTCATAAGATCCTGGCAAACCATGCCTCACAATTCCTCTTTGTTCACCTAACTGCTAATATTGAAAGTGTTTCTCTTGTTAACTAGAATGAGCTTAAAGTGACAATGGCTACTTTGAAAGAAGAACAAGAGCAGCTGAAATCAAAAATTGTGGAGAGTCCAGAGGAACTGAAAAATTACAAAGAACTGATGAAAGAGACTGTTAAGAAACTCAAGAAATCCAAGGTGAGGTTTTCCTCTGTCCACACAAGGAGATACTCTATTAGAAAAAGCACATTTTACTGAACTGTCATTGTCTAGAACTGCTTCTTGAATGACTTATACAGTCATTGTTGTGATCTCATTTCAGACTTTCAGAGAAAACTGAAGGTTGGTTGTAGGGGTGGAGTTGGGTTTTTTGTGTTGGTGGCTTTTTTTTTTTTTTTTGAAAAGCAGGATTGCACTTACTGCTGCTTTGGCCTTGATGAGACTGTTTATTTGTGAAACTAGGTGTAGAACTCTTGAATCTATACTACATTAATATATAGTTAATATTTACTATATTAATATAATAATATATTACTATGCTAAATCTGGCTGTTTGCTTTCAAGAGATGACAATATTTTGGCAGCTCACAAATGTCCTTGGATTTAGAACACATGCTTCATAGTGTCTCTGTTATCCTTCACTGTTTCTGGAATTGATGACCATCTCCACTAGTATGCAGAACATAGAGTTCCCTTCCTAGCTTTTTGGTTTTTTTTTTATAGTGATGTCCAGTCTTTAAAGCTGTGTAGTTCATGATTGCTCATACATCAGTGAAGCTTGCATAACTTTGTCTCTCTAGGTATTTTTGTTCCAAAGGTGTAAACTTTATAGCTTTAATTCCAGACATCCGTTTTTATGATACTTTACGTAACTCCTGTTTTACCAGTATTAGAACTTATTCACTGGACAGCTTTTTTTTCAATCCTGAAAGCTCTTGTAACAAGCTAGTTAGTTCAGTGTAATAACACTTGCATGTCACTTTTCCTGTGCTTTCCAAGTAAATGCTTTTTATGCAAACTGAAGATGTCATTTCAGTAACTACTAAATAGTAATTCTAGTGTATGTTAAACAATGAAGGAATGGGTACAAAAGTCAACATGCATTAATGCTATACAAGATAATGGCTGAACTCCAAAGCTGTTTTCTTAAGTCTTTTCTCTTTAAAGCAAGAAGTTATTGAGAAATATGAAGGTTATAGAGACCTAGTTGAGGTTCTGCCATCATGCCAACTGGAGGTGCAGTTATATCAAAAGAAGATGGAAAGACAGGGAGCAAATGTGGAGAGACTGGCCAGTGTATTAGCAGAGGTTTGTATTATTCCAGTTATATCTGTTTAGGGAGAATTTAATGTCTAAGCAAGATAGGTGATCATCAGTAAATGTCTGTATTTTGAAATTTCCCATCTCTCCTCTTCCCCAAAAAGAAAGAATTTGGATAACTTTAAAATCTTATTCTTAAAAACATCAGTAAAACATAACTGTTGCTTTGCTGCATCCCACTAGCTAATGTACTATTGACCACTTTTAATATTCAAAGAAAGCCTTTGTTGCCATAGAAACCTGACCTAAAATAGTTTGAACTGTTTTGGGGTTGTTCGTAGGAAATGATGGAAGAATAAGAGAAGTGAGATCCAGTTTCTTCTGCCTAGAGAGCAGAAACTAAGAGCAAAAAATTACTACTTCAGGAAAAGTCATGTCTTAAGTGCCTTTAACTTTATAACTAAGCCAGCCGTTCCCTGATGAAATGTTTGTCACAATACAGTACCTTGCTATTTGCTACTCAGTTTGGGGAGAATGCAATTGTTAGCAGCATTTGAAAAATGGTATGCAGTCTTTTTGGATATTTGTATAGCTTATGTTCAAATTACCCTTGGCTAAGAGCTATAGCAGAACTCATAGCAATTTCTGAAAATCATGGGAAGTGATGGGATCTTGCACATTTGGATGTGTTTAAAATCAGATAAAGACTAGGGAACTGGGATTTAAATGGGAGAATTAGTTAGCAATCAGATCTTCAAAAAGCAGGAAGCTAGTTCTAATCTTGGTAAACTATAACAGGGTATGCTGTTTTGATTCCCCCCTCCCCCCTAATTTATTTCAATACTTATGTACTCTAGGTCAGAAATCTGGAAGACCAGCTTGAGAGTGCTCAGATAGAGCTGAAAAAGGGGAAGACAGATGAAATGTCCTTAAAAAGGCTGGTCACTGCAAAACACGAGAAGCTGTCTACAGCTGAAATAAGGATAAAAAAGAAGCGTGAAGATGTGGAACAATATAAGCACACTGTATTTGAGTATGGATGAGCTGACATTTCTGCCTGATGCTACTTTATGTCTTCGTTATGTGCTACCAAAGTTCGCGTCTGGTACAAACACGTAGCTTAGCAGTAACAAGAAAATGAGTGATGTGGGATAGCTTTGTATGAAGACCAGTAATGCTGCAGGCAGGGACTTGGGGTCTCAAATCAATAATTGCAATGTGACTTGACAGAATTTCTTTTATTGGAGCACTAATTTAATTTATAATGCTTATTCTTGATTCTTTTATCTTCTTAAAGAGAATGTCACATTGGGATAATTTTCCAACTTATCAGACTTCAACAAAGCCCCATTTGCCTTTCATGAATTTTTCATAATTTCCCTTGCCACTTTTGCTCATTATCAAAGATGTTCAAGACCCATGGGGAAATGGGGCTCATATCTCAGAGGAGTATTATCCTGACATGATGCTTCTAAAACAAAAGGAAAAGTGTCATTTGATCAAAGCCTCTTAGCCCATCTTCCTTCCTACCATATGCTAAAGGCAAGTTGCAAGGCACTGTTTAGAGCACAGCAGTCACTTCTGCAGCAGCAAACTGCAGCATTGTAAGGTTGTGGCTTCACTGTGAGATTAGAAGTGCTGAACTGTTATGGAGACAGCTTATTATATAACATTTTTTTGTACATGGATAGGAAAAGGAATGTGGAAATTTATTGGCTGGAGAGATTAACTATGATGGAAGAGAGCTTTTTCCACGTGGCTGAGAGAGTCAACTAAGATTTAGTCATGCTGATAAGGCTTGTGTGGTGTGTAGAATGGCAACAAGATTCCTGGGCTTCCTTTGCTCCTCGTTTAGTGTATTGTACCAGCTAAAGGAGATTAATTAAAAGCTACTTTTCCTTCCAAATAAAGAATGAAAATAATATAATCTAATGCTCCTTTATGTTAGAAGTTGCTGCTGATTTATCTGTTTTTAATGTGTCAGATATTTCCATTGAGTGATAAAATTAGATGCTTTGATAAGCAAGAGGAGAAGGGAGGTAACCTTGGTCTGAAAACAAGAGTTTTTGCTGGTGAATAAGAGAATGTGTCTTGACTCTTCCCTTGACGTAGGAAGATTTAAGTAGGCTCTTGCTAAGTATGAGTGATTTCAACCATTCTTTAGAGAAAGCAGCTGCTATAGTTCCCACTGTAATTATTGTACAAATGCTTAGTATAAACTGGTAGGTGTTTTTTTGCACTTGAAGCCAGAGTAGATGTCCTGTTCCCATGCTAACCCTTTGTGGGTTACATGGCAGCTCACAGCTGGGACTATGTGAGTTTACCTGCCATCTGGGGAAATGTATTTGATCTTTGTTTGGAATGCAGTGAAATGATGGACTGGAAGTTGCAGATGATATATGTTGATGTATGGGATTAGAGCTCTAACTTGGTGGGAGGGGATCTGTGGCTAAGGAAAATTTGTGACTTTCAATTGTGCTGAAACATCCAGTGCAGCTCTATTGCTTTTAACCTAGTCCAATGTCTGCCTTTAGGCAGGGCTCTCCACTGACTCAAAGGCAAGAAGATGCAGTGTCCAGTTGTCTGTTGGGTTGGTTCCATTGGAGTCACTTGAGTTGCCTTGTTTGGCAGCCACTGAGAATCTTCAACATACTCCTCTAAATCCACTTTGAATTTCACTTCTTGTACCTAAGTTCTAGTTTAACAATTGGATAGATTTTCAAGCAAGTAAATTCTGTACAGCATTGCTTCTAGAAGCTGATAGTTTCATGCTCATAAAATGCAAGCTTTGCTTGTGGTGGGGTTAATTTTAATCTGGAATTAGTCAAATGGCTCAGTACTAACTTTTTTTCCCACCTTTAGATATTGTAACAAAGTTCAGGAGAAGAGGGGTGCTGTATATGATAAAGTGACAGCCATTCACAAGGAAATCCAACAGACAAGGTTCAAAATTCAGCAGCTGAATGAGAATGCTGAAAAAGAAGAAATGAAAGCCAAGGTGAGGGTTTTTGTGTGGTGTGGGGTTTGTTTTTTTTTTTTTCCCCTCCCCCTAAAGGAATCCTCTTTGGTATTCTCAAAACCCTTTTTTTTTTTTTTTTTAACTTGGGCTGTGTAGATAGAAGAACACGTATTGTCCCTAAAAATGAGTAGGCTGTGCAGGTGATGGTTTGTGTGAATAGTGGAAGGGAGAGCAATTCCTGCCTGTGGCTCCACTGGATTGCTAGGGCTTGTTCTCATGTCTGCAGGCTGTATAGCTGGCCCACAGGAGAAGTGGGCTTTGCAGACCTGAGAGGAAAGACTCTGGAATGGTGTGATTGCCCAGTATTTTGGGAAGTGAAATTAAACTTGTCTTCCCACCTGTGCCTGTAGCAGATACTATGCTAGTTCCATGATGTTTGTTTTTGTATCATGGTACTTCCAGCTCTAAGCAATTGACTTTTTTTTTTCTTTTTTTTGTTTGGCCCCTGAGACCTGACCTGTGAGGCTTTTTACGTTCATGTTGTAGTGATGGGCAATACTGTAACCTTCTCAACAGTCTCCTTCAAATACAGGACCACTTGCCATGTCACAAATGCTTTCTTCCTGAGCTTGCAGGAAGATGACTGTCCCACTTAGCTTTGGAAAGGGGCAGAAATCCTGATAGGTTGGGAGTAGGCGATCACAGTCTGCTTGTAGCATCTCATCCTATCTGTTCATTACTGAAGTACTGTCTGCGGTGGGAGGACAATGGTAGCAGTCACGGTGGCAGAGACTTTGGTGACATAGGTTAACACAGAATGGGGCAGTAGTAGTGTGAATATTGGGCTAGTGCTGTGTGTGACCACTAGAATTACAACAGAATCAAAATTTTGGGATTTTGCTTGTGGCTGCTCTTATTCTGATATTTTGTAACTTCCTTGTGTTCTGTGAATGCTGCTGCTTAAGCCAGGGACAAGTGATTTCAAAATGTACCTTAAGACCACCACACCACTCTCACTTAAATCCTTATAAAGCATAAATGTTAAATTTGCTAATGGATTTTCCCTTCCTCCCCCCCCTTATCTCCTCTTTCTAGGAAATATACCTAAATCTGAAGGCTGGGTTGGAGAAGCGTCATGACTCTCTCATTAAGACAGCAAAGAGTTACGCAGCCTCAAGAGAAGATAAAATTGCTGAACTGAAGAAGGGGCTGCTTAGACTTCAGACTCCTGGAAGTAGTTCTTAGACCTGTCTTCACTTGTATTCCACTTTCATTATGTTTATACTCATATCTGAACTCAAAAGCTTGTGCTTTGCATGGGATGGATAATTATTCCAGGCAAAAGCCAACTTTCTCAAAAACCATGTCAGAGCACATTTAGCTTTCTAGACAGATCTGACATCATGAGCTCCCTAATGTGGCTAAGAAAACACTGTTTAACCTTGTATTGTTTCAGTCGGTATCTGATTTTAGTGGTAATAATGCAAGTCTTGCTAACACCAAATTGCTTGACATTTAGACAGAATCCTGCTTTTTGTAGAAACTGTTCTGCAAACTGATCTGGGAAGACCTGGTGCTTTGGTCTGGCCTGAATGGACACAATGTTCAAGATAAGTCAGTAATAGGTGATATTCCACTACCATTATTCAATTAAGATTAAATCCTGACTGAGCAGTAGCGTCCATGTAAATGCCAACTTTCTCTCATCACAAATATTGGTGACTAAACACTCAAGAGTATCATTTTAGTTAACAGTACAGTACCTCTAGATTCTTGAACTCATTGTTTCTGCTCTGTGGGGTATTGAACCCTCGTCTGTGTTTATTAGAAAGTCTGTGTTTGGGTGCTTAGTCCCATTAAAAAAAAAAAAACTAGATGAGTATTTTGTACCTTAACTTGTGATGGCACTCAGTTTGTCACAGTGTTTTTAATTACTTCAAAAAATAAAATATTAATTTTTAAAATAGTTGATATAAGGATATTTAACCCTATTTCTCTTATGTCTTTTCCATCCCAACTCTCCCAATTGACTTGGCATAACATTCCAATTTAAAAATTTTGGTTTGTACATTTGTAGGAACATGCACTACTAGAATTTTTTTTCATTTGAAGGGAGTAGGATTCAAGCCTGTATAGATAACATCTTTCTGGTTTTGTTTAATTCTTCAACTTCTGTTATTAGCTAGAGGTGCTAGCAAGTCAGGAACAGCAGGTGATCATTGCTTCTAAAGCTCTTACTGAGACATCAGACCCTTTTAATATTTTGCTTTGAGGTTTTTTCTTACATTGTAACATGTGAGACATTTCAGTGAAAGTCCATGTTAATCTGCAAAACTTGACCTAGTACAAAGCTTCTCATACAGTTTTTCCATTTCCACCAAATATAGCCTGTGATGGGGGGGTGTGTGTGTGTAGCACAACTTTGTGTTAAGTGAGTGTACTCTTCATCCCAACAGTCTTGAAATGTTATGCAGCAGCATCTGGTGTAGACACTAGTGAAAGTCTAACTACTAAGGTAGACAATTTTTCCAAGAGCTAAAGATGTTAAGTACATGCAAGGCACAGAAGAATTCTTTATGGATTTCATGCACTAGGCCACATGTGGAATAGTCATGTTTTGGGTATTGTGCTTTGAAAGTGAGTTTTTAATGAATCCCTCCTTTTTGTGCTGTGGGTTAAAGCATTATGTTCTTCACATGCAGGTGTGCTCCACTCCCTTTGCCATAGCATGGATTCTAGCTGATGATACAGACACTATCTACAGGAAGATGTTGCTTCTCATTGGCAGTGTTTGCTAATGAACTTGATGTCTGTGCAAAATGTCTGTGATAATTTTTAGGTACTTCCAGACTTACAATACTAGGAAATTCTTGAAGACAGATGGCAAGGCTTAGGTAGAGTTTTCCCTGAGCTTTCTTGAGACATCCCTGCTTCCCATGTCAGTCTAGTCTATATCCCAGCTTGACAAGATAGCAGAAGCCAAGCATTCCCTCTTTAATGTCTCTGAGAATTTTGGGGTGTGGCTTATCTTTTTTTTTTGTGATGCTATAGATATTCAAAGTAAACTCATGTGACTTGGTATTCTATAAATGTAACAGTAGTATCTACTTTCTCATAAAGACTGGTTGGATGTTGTGTTCCACAGCCTGGATGTTGCAGCGGCTCTTGAGAAAGAGATTCCCAAAAGTTTCAAATGGATACTGCAAGGGATTACTCCAGCCAGCAGATGATTTTGACAGGTTAAGTTTACTGTCCTTCAGGAAAATGCATATCAAGATTCTTAGGCTTGTAGCCCAGTGATTAGGAATTTGCAGGACAAAGAAAATGCTACATTATGGTCCCTGCTCTCAGGGGTTTTGCAACACCAGCTGTTAGGTAAAATAAAAGGCTGCAATTCATGAAGAAACAAAACTTCTGCTTTATAGGGACAGGTTTATGTATTTCCAATAGGGTCTTGTGCCTTCAGAGTGGCCTGTCTGTCTGTACCTAAAATACCTATAAATAAAGCATAAGCAAATCTATATTTTATCTAGAGATAATTGATTCCTAGGTGTGAGTCTACTGCTGCTTTTCAAGAACTTCTACTGATCTTGAAACATATGGCAAGGCAGTGGGGGGAGTTTTAGTGTGACCTGAATAGCAGTGAAGGGAGGATGGCTTTGCTAAGCTGATACAGCTCAATTTCCCTCAAGAGGGCAGTGTTATTCAAAATTTTCTTGTTTGTATTTTTTGTTAGTACTTATGTTTAAGTGCCTTGAGCCCTCTGCCAAGGCCTAAATCGAACAAAACTGCAGGACTCCTTTATTTTGCAACACTGCTGTTAAGTAAGCAAGTTATGGATGGACATCTATCATGAAGCTGATAGAAGAGAATAGCCAGGGTAGACTTAGTGGAATGAGACTTTCACAGCCTTCTCTGTAGTCTACCTGTGAGAATAATTGAATGTCAGTAGCAGTTATATAGCTTGGCATAACACTGTTTAAATGTATGTTTGATTTTTTTTTTTTTAATGTGCTTTAGTGTTTCATATACTACATAAAACTTGTAGCAAACTTGCATTGGGCTGCAGTTAAGCTAGGTGATCTTTGGGAAACCAGGGCAGGATGTAGCCCTGATCTGAGCATGCTAACCTATGTGTGCGATTTAATGTCTACTCCATCTTTTTATAAATATCCTTTAAACGTGGCTTTACACCTCTGCTTGTATGTTTGAGTAACCAGGTAACTTTGATGCCAATTCAGATTAATATAGAGCAGGCACTTGCTCTGTGCTCTGATATAGCACAGTCTGGGTCTTACTAGAGCTTTTGTTTAGGGAACCTGCATAGATGAGGCAGTAGCTTAGATCACCCAGAAGGTCAGTGTGAATATAGGTTACCACTCGGAAGGTCACTTTCCACGAGCAGGAAGTTTAAGATGGATTGTCCATCAGCTTGTCCATAGCCTGTCCCCAAAACTTCTTCCTTACAGCTGAACAGTTTTATCGTAGAGTTTTTAGAAAGTGTGTATGGGGGGAAGTGGGTAGAGGAGAGGGCATGGAGGTTGCCGGCACAGTTGTTGTATGCAGCTGGGAGTGCGCTGTACAGTAACATGGAGATGAAAATAACCTCTTACAAGCTCAGACATATGAACATCCAGAATATATGTATGGATAGCGCAGCTTGAACTTCCTGTTATTTGTAAGCATCCTTCCTTTGCACAGGCTCTATGCCATAAACTATTAAAAAGGAAGGTAAATGTCTCCTGCCCATGAGGATATGTTGTCTCAGAGGAAGGACGGGGCTTTGTTCCAATTCTTTAAAGAATTTAAACAAACTTTGGTATCTTTGCAAGTAGAAAAAGTAGTAATGGGTAAGATGGGAAAATGGGTGGGCAACTTAAATTATGGCTTAGCACAGTATGTGAACATGAACAAAACTTTAAGAGGCTGCGTGATACCTCTTCCCCTGCTTGTATGTCTTGCTGCTCCTTTCTTTGTGAAGGAAGGAAGCCTTTTATTCACTGCCCTGTTTTGCCTTTACTCCACAGTCTTGCTGGAAAGAAGATCTTCAGAACTCTGTCTCGGAAGCCCTCTTTCTGTTAGGCTTTGGGCAAAGTGAGCAGGGTTGGGTTAGGTAAGCAAGTTTTGTATTTTTCAACAGTGCTTCGTGAGCTGTTTCTGCTTTAGTTGTAGGATGAGCTGGAAGAGATGTAGGTGTGTTTGGCCACTTGGTGGGGCTGTTGGCACAGATAGCGGTGGTGAATTCACGTTTTGTTTCTGCCACGGCTTTGCTGAGGAAGCCAAAGGAAACTTGCTGAATCTGCGGCTCCAGAGTAACAACTTTGCAGCTTGACATTCATATATTCTAGGACTAGTCAGGACCAGGTAAACTAAAAGTTAAAACTTTTTTATATAAAGATTTCAGATAGCTGATGGTCAGTTTTGCATAAAGACTATCCAAATAACTGCAAAAAGCCTCTGTGTCCTCCTTGGTGTTGTCTTCCAACTGGAGGATATGAAGGGTGTTTTGAGGTTGCCAGTACCCATGAAATCACATTGCATTATACAGTAGTGGGACTTGGCTTTCAAGTGCACTTTTACCTGTAGTAAAACTTGCTCAGGCACTGAAGCCACCTTTAGCTTGTGCTGAGCCTCCAAATCTTACCAACAGATGTTTCCATCTAAAGCTATTTCCCTTTATGTTGCTGAAGTAAGAGCTAGGAGAAAGGAGATAACAGAGCCTGCACTTGGTAGTGTCTTCCCTGTAGTTACTGCAGGTGATTACTCTAGGAGTGAGTGTGAAAGGCTCATATACATGGAGCTGTGTTTTGATGTTGAGGTGAAGTATGTATAAGTTAGGAGGCTGTGAGGCGTGGAACAAACAAACAGAATCTGGCAGATAAATGCATCTGACAGATAAATGCTCCTGTGCATTGAAGTCTTGTATCTGGAGGGACATCTTCCTTTTGGAAAGATTTTTCTTGATGTTTCCATCAGACTTGTTAAGGGTAATCCTTCTTATAATAGAGTAAAAATAAATGGCTAGAGATACCTGGGAATAAAAATAAGGAAAACTCTGAGCTGAATATCCAAATCCTCTTTGCCTGCAAAATGTGTCTTTTTCCAAAGCTAAAAAGGGAACACTCCATTTCTGGAGATATTGTAAATGGGGACACCCATGTGACATGATGAAACTCCATAGCATTTCACACTTAGTTGATCTCTCTTTGGCATTCAAGGGACCCTCTTAATTTGTGGTATTTTTAGTGCTAATATTTCTATGAAAATGCTTGCAGAATATTGATTATGGTGGACTTTATACCAGTGGATGTAAGAAAATAAATGGTAGGTGTATACCAGCACTGCTGCAATACACTTCTGTTTCTTCAGCCCCCAAAGGTTTGGGTGCTCTCTTGCTGTTCTGTAGTCTGTTG